AATCAATGCATTGTAATGTATATAAGTACCGATTGTACTTTCTACAAAAAAACATTTAAGATTTGAGAGATAAAGTTATTTAATTTGCTGAAGCAACGATGACGAAACTGGTAAAGTCAGTTTCTAAAATGCAATAAAATATTTGTCATTGCTGACAAATTGTGGCTTTAAGTTTTTTTACCTTTTTAAATGCATTACTATATGTGTGTATTTGTGTGTGTGTGTGTGTGTGTGTTTAAAAATGAAAGACGAAATTCAAACGGGAATTTTAATAGGTGGCCCTACGCTAACTTCAGATCCTATCCCATCCAATTTCAAACCAGTGAGAATTTCTTCCCACGCATTCATACATTGTTGATAATGTCGAATCTGTCGATCCGCCATTGAAATTAACATATTTTTCAAATCCATTTGTTTCTCTATGTTCCACCTTTGTAAATCACTTCGAAGATTTTCGTTTGCACATTCCACGCAATCTTGCAGTAATTCAACTTGCTTTGCCAATCGTGGAATAATTTGTCCAAGTCTTTCTAATTTTTCATCTCGAGATTCTACCTTCCAAAGTGATCCACCCCAATTTTGAGTCGAGGTGCTACCGCTCGTAAGACCCATTAGCTATTATTTAAACAATCGTTATCATAAGTATAAATTTTCGATATCAATCTAATATCACGTAAATTTGAAAACAAAACGTAAATTTAAAACATACCTGATCCTTCTCCAATCTTTTTTTGGCCAATTCTTCAACAGTCATTTCGTACTCAATCTGCATCGAATCGCGTCGAGATAAAGCACTTTTAACTGCATCTACGTACGAAATGTATTCTCGTTCCTCATTTGTTACATTTTCCAAGAGTTTTTGATGAGCCACTGTATTGCATTCTATTGCTTTAGCAATAGCTAGCAGAAAAGGAGTTAATTCTGGCTCAGAAGTTGCCCACAAAGTGAAAATTGGATGTAATTGATGTAATTCCAGCAGGTAGTCTAAGAGACATATGTAAATTAGTATAAATTACAATAAAAAGTATATAAAGTATATAAAAAGTATAAAGCAATTAATGTAGTGAGAAAACTGATTTTCTGCTGTACCTTGCCTTTCCTTATGTATACGATGATTTATTTTATCTACTGTCGCTAATTTTTCGCTAAGAGCTGTACAATAATCCCGAATTTGCTCAAATTCGAAGTGACGCTGTTTTATGGTAGATGTACTTGCGATATTTTGCAAAGAATCAGTCATCTTGACAAGGACATTTCCACGATTTTTCCGATGTATAAGGAACTCCTAAGAAAGTTAGAACTATAATATTTAAAAATACAATGAACCAAGAGATACCAAAAAAACAAAGATATTTTTACCGCAGGTTTAGTTGTCAGGAAGATGTATAGATTTTTATCACAACTGAGGATTGGATGATTTACAACTCTGTTGAGAAACACATGTAACAACTTCATACGCGCTATAATAAACTCTTTGGAATAACGATCTAACTGAGCAAGCAGAGTATGTTTCCCAGGCATAGGCTGTAATAACAACAATCATTTTCATAAGTTGTTTCATGAGTTTTTCTCGAAACAAATAAATATAAAGCAAATATGCTTCAGAAATATATCAAGGCTCACTGGTATGATGCGAGTGGGATATGAATCCATTAATTTCTCTCGCAACCAAATGAAATCATTGTAACGTCTTCTGACAATGTATTCCTCTTCCTCGAATTCTGGTCTTGTAGACTAAAATGACATAGAAATGTCATTGTTGTGCTGACATCTATCTCTATCAGTACTTGGAACAAAACTTACTTTTGTTGTTATGCGAAAAGTAATATAAGTTTCAAGCGTTTCAAGATGCTTTTGAGGATTGTCCACTTTTACCTGCAAGTCTCTAGAATCTGTCTGAAAATCCGACATTTCCTGTTCTGGCAGAGTAGAGAAACTATCAATGGAGGGAGAGGCTATCTAAAAGTGAAATATCCATTACATTACATCACACCATATTATTATACGTTATTAATCTATGTAATCTACAAATATATATGTATTTTCGTGTAACTTTTATTTTCATATTCATATACAGGCAACTGTCAAATGCTTTACAGGTTATGTCCTCACCACAGAACCTTCGACGGACGTGCTGCAGTTCGACAGGAAATCGACGTCGCGGCTCTCCTGTTTGATAACACCGCCAACTGCCATCGTGCTCACTTCCAAGATCGCAGAGTCCTCCGCGTTTTTCTCGCTGAGGTTCTCCACTTCGATTTCTGAAGAGGTCATCATCTTTGAACTGTCAAGCAACGGAGCTTCAACAGCACTGCGTCGTCGCGACGCGCAGCGTCAGACGAATCACAAGTATGATACGTTGATTTGACCATATTTCAAAACATAATCAAATTTTCGAGTATCGGTAATTTATATTACAACGATGAAATTGATCGATGGTAACGTAAATATGTTATCGTGAATATTATCATTTATCAACCTATATTTTTTCTCTCGCTAGACACTTTTTTCGAGAAATACCCTGTTCATTGTTCCTCCTTGTAATTGAAGAGCTATAATTCGACCGTCGGTTGTCGCAAAACGCAGTTGAACAAACTTAACGACGTCCAGCAGCGAAAGGGCAAATAATTCGCGCCCGTGGATACCGTATCTCGGGATACAGCCGACTTCTCCTTCTCCTCCCGCGATTAATTAACTCGGAACTTTCGCGTTATACGCCGCGAGGGTATGGAGTGGCAAGAAGAGGACGAGTACAATGCCGTTGTTCCCAAAAGATACATAATGGTGGCGGAGGGATCCCCGTCATTACCGATTATTTATTACCGATCTCAAAATTTCCTGTCGAGTAAGTTGCTGTGTTATTTTCTAAACTTGCCTTAACTTGGAGGTTAAATGCGTATATCGTAAGATATTTTTTACACGTGTGTTTGAAAACCGTCTTGTAATGTTGTTAATCTACTTCCCTGGAAAAAATTTTGATCCAAGACATTATTCGTTTTACTATTGTCACAACAATTACGGTAAATCGTTAAGCGTGTACTCGGTTATTCGTGATTTTTTACAGCGACGAATGATTTCGAATAACGCGCTGCGTAAGCGGCACCATGCGTCGCTACGGTCAATCGATTCAAACGAAAATTGATAACACGTTGCGATGAATCAACGAATCGCTTTGATATATCACATAGAGTGAAAAATCGGCAATTGGTCCTAATAATTGTTTATTCGGAGCGAGACAAATGTCACGATGTAGTTGGGTTATTGTGTATCACAGGCTGCGCATTAATGCGCAACAGCGCATGCGCGCGTTAACCGCCGTATAACGTAACTTCCATTTGCAATTTGCGTTTGCCGCTTTTCCGAGGAGCGATCGCCCGTGAAAAAAGTACACTCGTGAGTTTTGAATCTTATCTGCAATGAGCGTTATATAGATTTCGATGATTCAATCGGGTCCGACTGTTGGTAGAAGAAGAAGGGCACGCGCGGCCTCTTCATACGCGTATCAATAACTTTACAGACCCAGTTCAAAATTCATTTTCATCGATACTCCATCATTCGATTTCGATCGATTACCATTTGAAGTTCCGATAACGTAATTCTTAAGATCAAAACACGAGAGTAACCTCAATCAATGCATGCCAAATCGGATTAATCTTATCTCTAATCGGATCTTAATTTGATTCGTCAATCTATTGAACCTTGGGCCATCTAAATTTAATGAAAAAAAGTTTCAGCGACAAGCACAATTAAAAAACGAGTAGCGTTTCACTTTAAAAAAAAACACATTTGGTTGTCATGTGTTTGCTGATGATATACGTACACAAAGAGAAATAATATTTATATACTAATATTTAGGAAAAATGACTAAAATAAATGATTAAAATTTGAAAGAAAAAAAAGTAAAATTAAATGTATAAACATATATATGTATATATAATATATAAATATATGTATATTTATATATTTAACATTGTTTTTCTTCTTTTCCAAATTTACATGTTATATTTAAATGAAAAAGCAATATTAGATATATAAATATACGTATTTGGTGGTTAGGGTGACTGTAGCGCCCTAGGTAGAGAATGACTAGGTACGTCACTGGTTGTGACGCGGGCAGTGATGCCGTAGTCAAGGCGACCGCAGCAGCAGACAACCAACACTCCGACCAGCCGTCGACAACAAAATACGCAGGTTTGTCGGAGTGTGCTGCTCCGCTTTTCCACTTCTACGGTGCCTTGACTGTCCGCGTGGTTTCCTGGGTGACAAGCACGGCGGTTCCTTGAACCGGGGAGAAGCCCCGGTTGATATACGTGGGGGGACACGTTCGGTCGCGCAAGTGCGCCCGGGCGTCGTGGTGAAAGTACACGCCATTCATGAAGACAGGTGAGTAAAAAAGAAACGTAGAATTCGCGCTTTTTTTTCGTCTACCGTTTCTAATTGCGATCATCGCCGCAGATAATTTGAAATTCTAATAAATTTTTTCCCGGCGGTCACGGGCGAACGTGATGCTCCATGGCGTTCGGACGTGCAGCTTTACTGGCGCCTTATCAGGCCTCTCGCTGCGTTAATTTTATCACCCTCGATGCATACTTGCACGACGACAGTTGACGTCGTTTGATCGTCGATGGTTACAAGTCGGACTGTTCGAGTAATCGCGAAATCGTCAAGCACGAGGATTTCGTTTTTTCTTGTATTTCGCAATTGTATTCCTTGACGTAGAGTCATCACGCTGCGGTAATTCGTACATCGCCATTCAACACTTTTATGTGAAGATTTATTGAAAATGTTCACGCCACGTTGTTAAAACATAGAATCGTTATTTGATATCTGAGCGCGATTATATTCGTTCTCCACCAGATTTGAAAAATCCATTCATTTCAGAGAATGTTGTATTTTTTTTTTTTTTTAATAAGTATATCGTTTGATTGTGAGTGTTTCTTGTAGTAGAGAGAGATTAATTAATAAAATCTCTCTCGCAGAGAAGAACCATCGCAGATTTCTTGCTTTATGTATTCCCCTATTGCATTACGGTTTGATGATTTTATTGTGCACCCTTCTTGGGGGATATCTAATATTTGGAACCCTATGTAGCATTTAATTAAAATAGGCTTATCAATTCCGTCAATGTACTTCTTGGAGCATAAAAGAAAGAGCATAGCTGAAAATCTGCCCACCTTCAACCATCTAATTATTAAAATTAAGAACGATGCTAAATAAATAAATTACAAATTTCAAATTTTTGTTCAATTTTGTTTCTGCTCAATATTGCAGATATTATATTCGTAAGATATAACATGCAGGTTTTATTTTGCACTTGTAATATTAATATTCCGAAATATATGAATATATTTGGGAGAGAATGCGTAAAGAACGTGTAATGTAAAGCAGCAGATAAGGTGTGCAGAACACTTTCAAGCATCAGTCATGCATAACAGAGGCCAGGTGCATACGCTGTATGCTTTCTAATGTAATCACCATTTTCTAGAATAACGTAATATTGAATATTAAGTAACATATTCATAACGCGTATCTTTTTCAAATTAATTATTAAATTACTAAGTTTTACATTGATACTGTATTTGCAAAAAGAGAAATGTTATTTTTTTTTCTCGATGTAATATGCAACAAAGATTTCTATCCTACTTTTTTTCTTTTTTTATAATGTCGAAAGTTTTTCACGAACACGCAGGCTAATTATAAAATTGATTGCCATTGATCACGGAGGAGGTTTTAATACTCTCTAATTGCACCTATGATCCGACCTTTCCTATCGATACTTTCAATCCCCTTGACAAGAGTTCTATGCCCATCCACGCGTATGCTGCATTTTAGTCACCACCCCTCGTCCTTTCGTTTTCTTCCCTTTGAAACATTGTTTGGTACCTGCCACCGTACAGGTACAGGATGTACCAACACATCTTGTAGATACATTGAAACGACAATAGCGCGTTTCATTCGTATTGGAAGCTCTTTGGGGCTTCTCTTTGATCTGTAGGTTATTAAATGCTGCACACCTGCGTGAAATTACGTAGGCGATCCTTCTTATATGTAGGTTAGGGTGTCCGTTAATCTATCGCTATAACTAACAGCCGACTCGCTGTTAATAGGCATTGCTGTTCAATCATGCTTCGACACATACGATGTGTACTCTGAAATTTATTAAAATAAAAAATGATCAATGCTATTATATTTTTATTCTTTCGATACTTGCACGATTATATTTGTTATAACATAGAAAGCAATTAATACAAATTTGTACATTGTATAATACACTTATACTAAAAATATGTATGAGATATTTATTTGTAACGTATTTATCCTTTTTACTCATATCTGAAGACCTTTGAAAAATAGTACTTACTAAATGTGTATTTATTTAGTACTTACTAAGTGTGATATTTTAAAATCAGTTTATAGATTCAATGGTATCATCAATGACTTCTTCCTGACTGATCAATTAATGATATTCCTTTAGTGATCGCATTCTACAGGATGCTTATAGAAAGAACTTGTAGGAGATATCCTTGCGTTGCCAGTCTGTTGAAAAGTATTATTGATATTTATTACATCTGTATGTGTATATGTCTACAGATTCTTCCCTTCACAAACGGGGAGGTAGCAGTGGTGGTGATACAGTGGGAGTAGAGAGAGGTGAAGGAGTGATTACCATGACTACGACAGGAGCCCAGTATGCCCTCGCAGCATCCACCAGAGCTAATAACAGTGGGGGTAGCTCTACAACAGTGGGGGTGGAACCTAAACCAAGTGTTGTTGTCGTGACTACTTCCAGCTCCAGTGGCAGTGGTAACGCAGCACAGAGTCAGTCCACAAGAGGACAGCAACTTATCACTGTTGTTACCAGTCCTGATCCTTCCAGTCCAAACAATCTACAACCTATACAGGTTTGTTCAGTTACGTTACATAATTTAGTAAATCCTCTATTAGCAAGAAGATTTCCTTCCTTTTTTAAATTTAATAATTCCTTTATTAGGAAGGAGATCCTTCTAATTAGAAGATTTTACTATATACTAAATATATAAAGCCTTTTATTCATTAATTATATATATATATACATATAATTAATATTACTAGAAATAAAAGAAATTATTTTAAATATTTATATTATATAGAAACTTGCCGTTGATCATGAGAACATGCTACTATAAATAATAATTTAGTTATTGGTTCAGGATCCACTTGAAACAGCTGCAGATTCTTCCAACGGCTCAACAGGTACTCCAGCGCATGTTACAGCACAAGTTGTAGTGAATACCACTCATTCTGGTCAGCATACTCTTGTTGATTCCGACGCTGCATCTACATCTGCCGGTACCATTGTCAGTGGATCTCCGCACTTTATTACGGTAACAGGTGTGTTTTAAGCCGAAGATAATTTCAACATGTTCTCACTTCATTCAGCTGTTAGTCACAAAATTTCTGATTACGATATTGCAAAACGTTCAAATTCGAGAGATTGGTCTTAACAAATATCAAATTCGTGTAAAAAGAAATAAGCGATAAGTTGTCGAGAGACTTCTTATAAGTATATGTTAGGGGTGAGTATCAGGATCAGTTTGAAAAAAAATTATAGTGTTTGAGTAGAGATTTGGCCCTTTCCATGCTGCTGAAAAACATGCACCTCTGTTCTTCTACTCTGACCACACTAGGCACCAGTGACTCACCATCCTACGCGTCCCTCACAACGGCAGTAGGTGAGGGCAGAATATAATCAGCATGCATTATTTTTTTTTTCCATTACTAATGTACAACATATTTGTAAAAGAGCTGTGTATCATTTTTTTCTATGCATTGATTAATTTTGCATGATCTAGTACGTTATTTTATTTGTATGAATAATAAAGAAAACTGTAAATAAGTAAAAATACCATGTAGATATCAAATTTTGTTTTAAGAGTGCAAGCGCTTATTTAGATGCACTCTGTTTTATTCTAATAATTGGCAAGATATAATTCTGTAACTCTTAAACATTATATGTATTTCATAAAGCTTTAATTTATGTGGAAATTATTAACTGTATAAACAAATCGAAATGTATCGCCTCTGTTTCAGTGTCTGGAGAACCAGAGGCAGTGGGGTCCGAGTCGGTTTCTCATCCTACTTATGTTCAATATGTTGAGGGGGATGGTTCCACGTATATACCGACAAATGGCCAGATGTAAGTACATTTCAATTGGGTAATTTTTTACAAAGCAGGCGATCTTAGCAATTTTTATGATTTTTGGACACGTCGAGTAACTTTTCTTTATATATATATATATATATATATATATATAATTGTCGCTCAGTTTTAGAGATATTTGCGAAAATTTTTCTTTGACTGTTCCACTTAATCTTATAATTTAACTTTTACAGGACATATCCCGTATATGCTGTTGGAGAAGCAGGAGCAATGTACACTCCTGCTTCCAGTCAATATTATACACCAGCAACTACGCCAGTAACATATGCTCAGGTAATTTATAAAATATCTTATTTTCAATTAATAGATGTAACGACAATCAAAATGTACCGTGTGTCTTGTAGTATCACGAATAACATTTTATTGCATTTAGGTTACTGGACAAGGTTCAAATTCTACAACTGGACAATTATTATCTCAGGGCAATGGCACGTATCTTATTCAACAGAGTGTTGTAGATGGGGATCCCACAGCACATGCATTAATATCTGCAGCTGCTGCACGTGCTAGTCCACAGACAGAAAGTGCGGTAAGATAGCAATGCATGTTTATGGTTCTCATTGCTTTTACTTTCTTTGTTTTTACAATTTTACAAATTTTGTAGATGCGTTTGGAGATTTTATAATAAAGCTACCTTTTTTTTAATGTGGTATTGGTATGTTGGGTTGTTTGATAGGAAACTGTGGTTAGCGGGGGTGGAGGGGCGTACTTGATCAGCGGTAATTCAGGAGGTACTGCTGTTACTGTGGAAGACGCTGCGGCAGCGGCTGCAAACATGACGCATGCCACTAGAGTTTCCCAAGCAACAGTAAGCTGATACATAATTTTGATTTGTAAGCTTAGCCGTACTAATTCGTTGTAGCATGTAAAAGTGCTTCTTTAGAGATGCTTTTTTTATATATGTTCAAGATTTACTTCAGTTCAGTAACAATGCAAGATTTTCTCTAACATGAATATTATTAGTAGGTGTTGGTTTTATGTGTCGTTTTAATTGGCATTTTATCTTTTAATTTTTGTATATGTATATAGTGTTATACCTGATGTTTATTGATGATATAATGTTGAAGTTTATAATGATTTGTATGTAATCAGGTTCATTGGTTGCTCGAAAATTATGAAACAGCAGACGGTGTCTCTCTTCCAAGATCGACTCTTTACAATCATTATCTACGTCACTGCTCTGAAAATAAGTTAGATCCTGTAAATGCCGCAAGTTTTGGGAAACTAATACGTTCTGTTTTTTTGGGTTTAAGAACTAGACGACTGGGCACAAGGTAAATAACTTTATTTTTAAATATACTTTACATTAGTTTTCAATCACTACCACTTTTCGCAGGGGAAATTCAAAATATCATTACTATGGAATTCGCGTTAAGCCCAGTTCTCCTTTAGTCATGTTAAACGAGGATGGAACACCTCGTCAGCAGCAAGGTACAAATTCGCAAACGAAACGATTCAAATTTGTGAATCAAAAGCAGGATACTACGTACGAAAATAATACGCATTCGAATACAAATATTTCTTCAAATAATTCGCCGCCTCAGTATCATCAGTATCTTGGTGAGGCGAATGGTGCTATTCCAGAATTTCCAGAAATAATAGTCGGGCACGGTTCGTCCCTTCCAGAAGATTGCACGTTAGAAGACATTGACACGTTCCGTAGTATATACAGAGAACACTGTGAAGCCTTTTTAGATGCTGTTCTCAACTTTGAGTTTGCTACTGTAGAAAGCCTTTGGAGAGAATTTTGGCGTAGTCAGGACAATAATAATGGCGATGAGTGTGAGGAAGAAAAATATTTATCGAAGTAAGATTTCTACGTTCGGCTTTTTTGAATAATTTATGAAAAAAATTTTGAAAACATTTTATGCTGTTTGTAGGACTAAGCTATATCAGATGTGTAAATGCTCAGAAGTTCAAGATTTTATAAGGAAAGTTGACTATACGTTTTATCAAAATTTGGTAGAAGTACTAATGCCTAACGTATTGCGACCTATACCGAGTGAGTTACATTGATTACGCCATTGTTTATATTATTATTATTACTAATTAATGTATAATCTTCAGGTTCTTTAACACAGTCTATTCGAAATTTTGCAAAAGGACTAGAGTCGTGGTTAACGTCAGCAATGGCTGATTGTCCCGAAGAAATGACTCAAATAAAGGTAGTATTAAAACATACCGATGAAGTATATCTTTTTTTAACAGAGATATTATTTTAGTTGACTGCTGTGTCTGCATTTGCCCAGACATTAAGGCGTTATACATCGTTGAATCATCTTGCTCAAGCTGCACGTGCAGTGCTTCAGAATTCTAGTCAAATAAATCAAATGCTAGCTGATCTGAATCGCGTTGATTTTCATAATGTGCAAGAACAGGTATCTATGCTAATTAATTTAATGTAACCACTCTTTTAACATAAAAAAACACGCGTACGTATATTTTATAGGCTTCGTGGGTATGTCAATGCGACTATGCAATGGTACAACGTTTGGAAGCAGATTTTAAGGTAACATTACAACAGCAGAATTCATTGGAAGATTGGGCAATTTGGTTAAAGAGCGTTGTGACCCAAGTTCTTAAACCGTTCGAGGAAAAGCCAACATTTGCAAAAGCTGCTCGACAATTTTTGCTTAAATGGTCCTTTTATAGGTAATTATTTTAAATACATAAAAAATGACGATTAATTTCTTGTGTCTTTGATTATTTTTTTACTATTCATCCAATAGTTCCATGGTCATTCGTGACCTTACCTTAAGAAGCGCAGCTAGTTTTGGATCATTTCATCTGATTCGATTATTGTATGATGAGTACATGTTTTACTTGATCGAGCATCAAGTAGCTGTTGCTACAGGGACAACTCCAATAGCAGTAATGGGAGATGTGTGTATTCTTGTCAAACGATGTAACATATATTTTGAATGACTAGTAGATTATTAGTTGGTTTTATTTTCTTTCAGAAAAGTCAAAATTGCTCTTTAGTTAGCGCGTTTGGCGCCACATCTAATGGAGGTGAGTCTTTGAGTTTGTTGTTTAATATTTGTCATGAGTTTTATCCATTTGCATGAAATATTTTTAAAATAAAAATATTTCTTTCAGATGCATCAAACACGAGTCAACCAAAGCGTATGAAACTAAGCTAACTGCGTGCCTACGTCTTTTAGTTTTTGAAGTAAGCCAGTAGCACCTGAGAATGAAACGTTAGCACAAGAGCATGCAGGCCTACTAACACACTAGTCCCATAAATTATAATTTTATATAAGATGAGACCTTATTATATTATGACTTTAACAAAGAAGATTTTTGCATAACGAACGCCCAGGATATATACAGTCTAAGTAAGTTTGTGTGATATAATGTGTAGGAATATGTAATGCAATCTTGTATCATACTAGTATATGGTACAAGTGTAAGGTATCGCTGGCACGATGTTTAGTACATTAATGTATCATCTAGTCGAAACATCTTTGAAATGTGTATGGGACCATGAATTTATCATGCCCTTATAGTATTCATTATTGAAAGCTTACTCGACTACAAATTTCATTTCTTTTAAAGCTTTCATACATACATAAAATTCAAATAATTTATTTTAATTAAAGATGATGATTATTTGAAAGTTTATTAATAGCCTGCTTATAATTTAAATTTTATATTATTTAATGTATTATATTTTTTTAGCATGTTGAAAATTAAGTCGAGTGAGCTTAAAATCAGTTTTTGCAAAAAAAAAAAAAA